CACAAGAAATATAAAATTATACAGTTTAGGAAAAGTAACTTGTAAATGCTTTATATTCTATGATGGAATCACACCAGTGTTATGATTCCATTGAACTGCACTCTCATACAACCCAGGGGCATATTTATAAAGCAGTAAATGTGACTTTCAACAAACATTCACTGGTGAATCAATCACACCCCCCTTTTACATAAATATATTCTATAGAACATTTCACTTCTGGTTTGAAGTAAGGGTAGTGTTCACTTCCCAATGAGCTCTACTCCTACTGTGGGGACAGCCCAATCATTTAAAAGTGCTGCCTACAGCATTCAATCCCACTCAAAGAAGTGTATGCACCTCTTTTTAAGTTTGCACCACAAGGCATGGTAAGAGGTCACATATGTTGTGGTGCAATGCAGCACACACACAATGGCTAGGTGCGTCGGGGTACTATTAAGAAATATCTGGCACAGCAGAACACCTAACAGCAACATATGATCTCATGCGATGCAGGTTCATGTGCAGGAATGCACACATGCCCTCATCGCAGAGATATGAATGGAGTCTTCCGCACATGAAGATGGGTTGCAATAAAATCAGGGAACATCACTTATTGCATGTTTTGCACAACACAGACTACACAGACTAAATGTGCACTGAAACATGTACTTAAAAAAAGCATTATAGCGCATGCCAAAACATAAATATGCCCGTTGCTTTTTCATTACTTCTTGTTCTGCCCTTCACAGTCCAGAAACATTTACTACTGTATGATGATGATGATGATGAGGCTGACAATACATATTTTTTTTCTACAAAGATGGAGGTATGCTGGTGAAAATGTAGTTTGTACCATAATCCTTATTAAAGTAGTACTAAAGGATAAATGTATTTTACCATAATGCATTCTCTGCATTAAGGTAAAAAACGCTCAGTACCTTCATGTTCCCTTGTCGTCTTTCCTCCCCCCCTCCCCCCCACACACACACACACACTTACCTGTGGTCAATTGCCACTTCCTCCGGGTCCAGGAAGATTGTGGCATTCCCAAAACTTCCTGGTTGTGGAGGAGGGTGCTGAGGGCAGAGAAGTGATAGGCTCCCTCTGCCTTCAGTCAAGCTTTTAGAAGGGGAGTGGTGGAGTAGGCTGGGTCGTGGCTTGCCGTGCGATGTGTGTGCCTATGCAGCTAGGTGCGGGTCACAGACGTGAATGCTAATTCACAAGAAGAATGTTCAAAAAATGTAAATATGGACTTCTTTATCTTGGAAAAAAAAAAGACAAAGGTTTAATATGACTTTAATATCAGTGAAGGAGATAGGCGGAGTCCAAAGCTGCTACCTTGCATTGCACCCCCTGAATCCCATAAGCCATTAAAAATTCAAAATATTTGCATCAAAGTGGGGATTTCAAAAGTACTTAAATCCTTAAAGTCTACATAAAGCCAATTTTTTTTTTTTAGTATTAGATAAAATATGAAAGATTGAAACCTTTATTTTTTGCTGTATTTAATTTTCACTGTTTCTGTTAGTGGGGAGATTTCCCTTCAATTCCTGTCCTGTATACACAACAGGAAATGGAAGGAAATCATTACATACGGTGAACATAATTCTCAGCTTAGAGAGCTGCCATAGGAACAGGTATGGGAGGATTGCTCACATTCTGCTCTGATGACAACTCAGACATTTTGGATTTTCTCTCACTTTCTGCCTCGGTGACAATGGTCACTAAGACAAATAGAGGTAAATCTGCCCAGCTGGGATATAGACAGCCATATAGACTTGACAAAGGGCCCATCCCTGATCTATTCAAAACTAAAATAAATACCTTTACATACATTTTAACATGGTAAAACATAATTCATTTAACTTCATTTACAGATAACTGGCTAAGAATTATACACACAAACCAATGTAGGTCATCAAATTCCTGCTGGTCAAAGGTGCAAAAGCCAAAGAACTATAGTTACGCAATGCCGAATGTAAACAAGTGAAAAAAAAACCCCCAAAAACATTGTGATCCCTGCATGTTTTTGCTTCCATAGATAAAGGTTAACATTCTGAATTATGCAAGAAGCAAATACCCTCTGTCACATAGTTTCCATTATCCTACCAGGGACTCTGAAGCTGAGTGAGTGGTGGTAACCAAGCCAAGATAATATCAGCATATATTGACCAGAGACCTTGACACCACATACTTATGCAGTTCTGCTACACAGATAACATGCCTTCATGAAAGGATACAAAACACTCCATTGTAGGGAAGATAAAGACAATTGACACATTTGGACTAATTAAATAAAAAGAAACAAAGTGCTAAGTGCACAGCGCAGTTATTCATATCAGCCAATCAGAATTCGTGTTACGTAAAATCCATCTAAACCCTCTGTTATCTTTTTCTCTCAGTGTTAAAGCGATATTAAAGTCAAAGGGTCTTTAAGCTATTTCATATGCTGAATAAACCACGCATAATGGATCCAGATAACAAAAGCTCATCGCTCTGATTCCATCTCCGACTGCACATGTGTCACCGGGTGCAGGCCAAAAGGTGCGCTCTCACCTCCCAGAAGAATCCTCCAAAATCAGCCGCACATAACCGGGGTCCATAAAATACAATTCATTCAATAAAAATCCAGAGTCCAACAGTTACACCACCAGTGCACTCTTGTGTAACACCGCCTCCTACGCCTTTCACCACCTGGGACTTATCATATGATTAAGCTCAGGTGGTAAAACGCATAAGGGCAGTGGTATGGGAGAGTGCTCTGGTGCTGTACTTGTTGGACTCTGGATTTTTATTGAATGAATCGTAATAAAGTTTGATTTTATAGACACCAGTTATGTGCGGCTGATTTTGGAGGATTCCACCTATAATAGATGCTGCTCCTTTATGTTTAAAAGTTTAAGAGTCCTGCAGAATCAGCTGGCCCCATAAGCATCAGCCCTGATATCCTGTTTTAGGGTGGCTCCTTTCCCTATAAGGATACTATTGAGCCACCCTTGTGTGTAATGGTAAGCTGCTTGCTCCACAAACACGCAGGCACAGCAAGGCAAGTCACTACCCTGCTCCCCAATACTCCATCCTCCCTTCTCCAAGCTAGTAGATGGGCAGCTGCTGGAGACTGCTCTGTCCCTTGTAATCTTGTACAGGACAGGAAGTTTAGGGAAGCTGAGCTGAGAGAGTTGGCGATAGCTGTTCTGAAACATGATGGCTGTAAGTACTTGGACAAAAAAGTAAATAAGTACTTTGCTGGGCAATGTATATTTGTTTCATCTGATTGAAAAAATGTTTGAGAGTTAATACTATTTGAACAGGTACGCTAGTAAGTTAAATGAAATACCAGAACCCTTTTTTAATGGTAAATGCGGCTGGGAAGCTGGATTTCTCCTGCATCCTGTTGACAGTGCTGAAGGGGGTGGGAAGGACTGAGCAGGACTTTTACATCCTTCACCTATGTTGCAGCAGCTAGGACACACTACAGGCTGTGGGCTGAGCGAGGCATGGCTATTCACTCATATATGTTGCCATAAACAGTGGCACCATATATGTAGCTGCAGCAGAAGCAAGAGCGACAACGCAGAAGTGATTTCACTGCAGAAGAAAGAAGGTTGTCACCCTATCAGGTGGAGTGACATCACTTCACTTGTCATCCATTGCTTAATTCCCCTAACCCCATAGGAGGTCTTTCAAACCTCCATCCGGACCTGTCAGTAGGGCAGGGGTGGTCAACTCTGGCCCTCCAGCTGTTGTAGAATTACAAGTCCCATGAGGCATCGCAAGACTGACACTTACAGGCATGACTCCCAGACGCAGAGGCATATTGAGATTTGTATTTAAAGCACAGTTGGAGGGCTGGAATTGCCCACCCCTGGATTAGGGGAAGAGTTTGCATGAGCCTGTGCATGGCACAGACGATCCACTGATCATGGGTACAAAGGTTTGCAGACTCCAATGAAAAAAATTTCAGAAATGCACATCTTTCATCAATGTGGGTACATGTATTTTTTATTATGCCTTTAAGTAGAATGATTCTTTAAGAGTCATATAATATGCAATAAAGTGCAAAGCTCTTTACAAATGATAAAAGGTTCTGCAAAAGTATAAAGTTATAAAGCCATGCAAAGTATTTTATCTGAAAGGAATCTATTCTTACAGTTTATCAAATAATACATATGATATCACATATCTACAATAGGTAAGGCTTCATACCTGGTAAACAATTGTGTTTTTTACATGATAGAAATCAACAGCACAATGACTTGGCAGTCTTTAAATAGCAGCACAGGAATCCGATATACTAATATACTTGAGGGCACATCCTTAGCAGAATATCCAAATCAAAATACAGTCTGTGCAGTATAGAAAACAGGAAGAATGTTGCTCTGCGCAGTTAGTTTAATTTTAAAAATAATGTGTAAGATGATGACAAACTACTTCCATGTTCCATTCCACACCCATTTCCATAGGTTACGTCCTAGGAACAATCACTTGCAGCACTATAAACACAGTATCAGTACATAACAAGGCTCTGAAGTGTCTAATCAATAGCCAGGGCACTCTTCATTGTTTAAACTGTAGTCTATAGGTAAGTCGTTAGAAGACCCAGGAGGATGTCCCTGTGATCTCTTTGTTCTTATGTATTCACATCTCGGAAAACAACACCAAGTCTGGGCTGTCTCATAATCTGCAGCATGCACCCATTGCATGGCTGATTGGATGAGACCAGAGCATCATCCCCACTCCTCCCTACTCTACTGTATAGCTGTAGCTGAAAAAAGCAGAAGAGGATGTTGTCACCATAGAAACAGAATCTGACTGTTGCCAAGAGGCTGAGCAGAAGATCTGTGACGTCACTCTGCGGCTGTCCATCTCTGCGAGATGCTGGGAACACAGAGAGAGACAGTTGCAGAAGGAGGCAGAGGAGACCCCAAGGCTGCATCACCAGACACAAAGCTGGCTAGGAGCCCTTTAAATGATATTGATATGATATTTAATGATAATGATATTTAAATGATAACATTTTATTCAAGACGACAATGCTTTTATGAAACTGCAGTATTAGGTGAGACTGGGCCTGTCTACCTATAAGTGTTTAACTGCATGATGTTATCCTACAGACATTTAGAAATGAAAGCCGAGAAATGTGCCTAGCAAGTTTATTTTAGTCTGTTCTTGTTTCCAGGTTTGGTAAGCACTTGACGTTTCGAGCATTCTTATTCATAATCTGATATGGATTGCTTGTAACATCAGTTTTCTTTGATGTTCTTGCATCCGCAACTCTAAAAGTTAGCATTATTGCATGCACTGACCCTTTCTACTGTATTTGACTATTTGTTTCATCTGTCATGACAAGGCATATTTGTGCCATTGTAATTAGATTTTATTGTACCTAATCGCCTCGCATGTATCAGCGTATTTGCTTTTTACACATGACGTTTTTTCAGTGACATATTGCAGATCTAATTATTGCATGTTCATGTCTCTGTTGTTGGTTATTGTTAGATGGTAATGACCCATCTGCATTGGTGTTTTGTTGTAGGCTGGATACATTGTTAAAAATAGCTCTATGACTTCAGCAATGCTCTAGGAAGATCCATGGTTCTCACCCTCCTCATCTCAGCCTATAAACTCTGCAGGTATTTCAACATGTTTAACCACGAGCGTCTTATTGTGCCTGGATATGTAAACAACATGTGCTGGTGGCAGACCTCCGGGGGTACAAGCAAAAGCCATGAGGTGTCTCCAGGAGCCACTGTAGATGTGCAGATTGCTTTGGACAGGGTCCTTCCTGACCTGCATGTGGCCATTTCTAACCTAAAGCAAGCCATGTGTGAAAAGAGCATTTGTGACACCATCACAGAGATTTTCCAAATGGTGGAAGAGGCATGGGTGATACCAGCAGTGGGAAGAGAGGTCGCCCAGGGCTTGTGTGAAACGATCAGACTGGAGGGCGCACTAGACCTGCTTCTGGGCTTTCTCCAATCAACAGAGAAGGAGGTGCAGTACAAGGCATGTCAGCTCCTGGAGCAAATCCTGGTGGCGGAAAATAGGTAAATACTTCTAATTACTCTACAGCACACTGAAGTTGACTGAACATCACATTGTATAGATGGAGCGACACAATCTAAGGGAGTTATAATGAGTTAAACAGTCACAGTAATTTACAAATTGAGTTATAACACAATTTGGACATGAGATACTGTATATCCAGTTCAATTCCCATTTTACAAAGAGCAATAACAGAGCCTGAGCACATGATAATATGTTTAAAATAAAACATAATATACATATTTTACATTTTGTTTAGAATTTGAGACTTTTTAACACCACTTTGTAAAAATTAGATTCAGAAGGAACACCAAATTTCTGACAAGCCTACACAAAAAGGTACTAATAGTATTTAAGCAAAACATGAAACCACCTAGTCAATATAATTATAAAGTGTGTGTTTTTCCCATTACCTACAAAGCTGATTAGCAAAAGAAAAAGCAAGTCTCTGTTTTACACCCAACGGACATCATCATGTGCCTAGCTGCTACAAGAATCTGTTATGCTCAGCAGATTGTTGTTTTAAGGATGTGTGTATAGTATAAATTATTAATTATGAGATTATGTTACACTGTGCTGGTTCACATCAAGGCTGATAAGACATAAAAAAGACAAGAAAACAATCTAACCCTAAATAATAATTATAATAAAAGAAGAGAGCTATTTACCAACAAAGCAAGGATTCGGGGGTAATCTTCATTACCAGACCCACGGTGGGTAGTAAAACTTCAGTTCAGAATCAGGGGAATTCAGGACTTCTAGTTTATCAGCGATTATATTTTCAGCTTTGACATGGAGAGGGGAGAGCACCTATAAAGCTTCATGACCCTTCAAGCTCATTGTTTAAGTAAATTCCACTAGCAAAATCAACTATAAGAATTTATTTGCCACATCCCCACTTCACCAAATTTAGGGAATTATTGAAATAGCTTATGTGGTCAGAGCTGGATGAATGTGAAGTACTTTTTTAAAGTGGACCTGTCACCCATGCTCAGTGAAGGCTGCCAGTGTATGGGCTTGTCATTTAGAGAAAGTAGCCGATCACAAAGATCTTCATGCAATGGTCACATCACTGAGAACAAGGAATGAATGTGTTGAATATTGTTTTAGCACACAAAATCAATGCAGTGTCAGTGTGCATGCTTAGGAAGTGCACTTATATTTATCTAATGTCAAGGCTTAGCATAATAAATTATTTCCAGGCAGTTTTTAGTGTAAAATATCTGTAAGGCGATAATAACTTATGAATAATGAAAGATTTATTGTCAGATGTAACTTAAAATGAGAAAGATGCAAACTTGTAATTACTGATCTTGCTGTTTAATTTTGAAGCCTGAACTAAGGTTCTTGGGGCCTTGAAATTTCTTTGTGACCATAGTTAATGACTTCACATACAAGTGTAGTTATGGACATTTTTCCTCCATAAGGTAAACAGAAAAATTGGTGTAACTCATAGCAACCCATCTTTTATTCTTATAGCACAGCTCAGTAAATAAAAAGGCCTTTATAAATATATTAAGAATATATTTCTATAAATGTATCTCATGACGCATTTCTGCAGCATATGACCAGGGTGTGATTTATGCTACCGTCTAGGGTAGAATGACTGTTTGGGGCGGCACAGTCGCCAACACATTATTTTCCTGACAGCAACACATTGCCATGTGTAATGTACTTAATGTTCACCCACTTTTGCACTATTCATCAAGACATTGGTTCAGAGTGCACCAATGTAGACTAGTCTCTCTTGGCCTCTCTACCCTAGCCGGTCACATACCTGTATGAGGGGGCTAAGAAGACAAGGGTAGCCTTGTGCGTGAATACCATCAGAGCACCCCTGGAAGCAGAGACAGGACCTGCAAGGTGAAAAAAAGGCACAAGTGCCTAGGTGCAGGGAGCATTGATATCAGATGTACAAGGGCACAACCGTCACTGCACCAACGATACACCAAGTTCAGGTAGGAGCAGAGTCAGGTCACAGGCCTGGGTCGTTAACAGAAGAGCAGCGAGGCACCAAATCATAAGTAGAATCAGGGTCAGAGACAAGCCAAGATCAGCAACATGCAGGCAACAAGGTTCAATGTTGGTGAGCAGAATCTTTGTCAAAAGTTCAGACCAAGGTTTGTAACAGAGGTAAACAGCAATCATAAGCAGACAAGGGAAATCCAAAAGCAGGTCAACAGAAGCCGGGTCAGCAACAAAGGTCAGGCACAGGTTCAGGATCAGAGATCACAGGCCACAGGAGTACATACCGGAAGACAATTCAGCAGTGAGATTATGCAGAACTCGGGGTTAAATACTCTGCTTGGTGCCAATGTCAGTAGAAGTGCAAGTACATGTTCAAGCATCTGCTATGATGTGTGTACACTAATGCATGTGTTTGCTAACCTGTGTGTGCAACCTTGGTTGTCTTTGTAAGCCTCTATGCACAGAGACATGTGCACACTTATGTGAATGCTTATGAAATGTGGATGAATCTGAGGGCTAAAATGTTCCTGACACAGCCAATCAACTATGGTAGGAGGCAAGCATATACGTTTGGCCATGCATGTGGACCTTTCCCAGTTTTTTACTGCAAAAGTCCAACAGACCTAGTATACTTAATTTTTTACAGTAAACTTGATATGAAAGAAATATAGTAGCTGCCATTGCTAAGCTATTTTTAAAATGTGAGCTGTCTAGCAGTAATGCTGACTCACTGGCTTTTATACATTCTGAGTCACTTACTGGAACAAACATACAGATTGTCAGAGAAAATTAAGAATTCCTTATTCGCATTTTGGTTCTAGGTCAGTGACTCAAAGTACTAAAGCAAGACAGGATGACAGCCAGCCAACAAGCATTTTTAGAAAAAGATTATCAGTGACAGATTTTATGTTATTCTTATGAGAGCTTCCCTTCAAAGTGAAACTGTACTCTCTTCTTGAAATGCATTATCCGCAAGCTCCCTCCCCTGCGCCAATATCTTCTCCTAGACTTTTTCCTGGTTCAGGATCTTTGGCCATTTTGATTGGCCGTGCTTAGATGATCTAACTATTGTGCATGTCCGGGAGTTCATTAATCTTAGCAAATGCCAAAATTGTACACTGAGCTGCGCATGTAACTTTAATCCTTACACTAACCCTTCCTATAACCCTAATCCTCCTCACTGCAACTCCCTTTAAACCTGACCCTAACAATAACCCTTCTTGTAACCCTTGTATTTTGTGTTTTGCATTTGCAACAAGTAAGTGAACACATAGACGTACTGGATTTGCTTTGGAGTGCCGGTGTCCATCCTTTACTTACACTTTCACGGAAGCCACCCGTTGACACCTGCTGCACCCACTTCTTATCTCATGGAGCAGCGGTTCTGAGTGTGATGGGTACACAGACTGTATCTTGTAATTTAAACCTCACACTAATCCACCTTGTAACCCCACACCACCCTTTCCTATAACCCTAACCCTCATCCTAATTCCAACAGTAATCCTCCCTGTAACTCTTACCCTCACAATGATCCCCTTCTTGAAACCCCTACACTAACCCTTTCTGTAACCCTAAACCTAACATTAACCCTTCCTGTAGCCTAAACCCTCACATAACATTTCCCTCTAACCCTAACCCTTCTTGTATACCTCACACTAACCCTCCCGATAACCACTCTCATGTAACTCTTACACCAGCTCTTCCTGTAACCCTAACTCACATACTAACCCTTCCTGTAATCTTTACACATCTCTACCTGCAACCCTAACTCTCACACTAACCCTTCATGTAACACTTACACCAGCTCTTCCTGTAACCCCAACTCTAACAATAACCCTTCATGTAACCCTTATACCAACTCTTCCTGAAACTCTCACACTAACCCTTCATGTAACACTAACTCTTCCTGTACCCTATCCCTTCATGTAACCCTTACAGTAATCTTTTCTGTAACCCTAGTCCTCCCAATAACCTCTAAACATCACACTAACGCTCCCTATAACCATCACATTAACCCTACATGTAATGCTAATAGTAACCATTTCTGTGTAAACCAAACCCCTTCCTGCACTAAAGGATACCAATGTCTATTTCCTAGAGTCTACTGCTTCCTACCTTTGCTGTACAAATCTGTACTAATGAGCACACAAAGCTGACCAATCCTGATAAAGCTGAGGTTACAGACAGCTGGAATATTTAGGTTTGGCCTTGTGTTAGTGTACAGCCTCAATTTTAACCAGCTGGATTACCTCATGTATGCGGATAACGTGCTGTCTGAATCTGAGCCCAGTTTGTTTTACAGTCATTTCCCTGCTATACTGAGTCTACAAATGGGCAGATTTAGAATCTCAGCACTTTCCTTCATGCGGTCAAAACATTTTCAATGTCCTCCAAAGCAGATATTACCGCACAAAGCACCATTTCAGACTAGGGCACTACACTGCTGTAATTTCCATCACTTGAATAGAGGTTAATGCGCTATGTTAGTGCTTGAGAGGTTTCTTCAGTTCCCAAAGATGATTCTCAGGATTGACATATTTACGTATTAAATGTTTATTACGTTTTTCTACACATAAACAAATAGACAAGGGCATTTTTGTTGACATACAAACAGGTGATGTAATCATAAAACTCGACAGAAGTCGTATATTGTAGTAAAAAGTTCTACCAGACAGACAAGGTAGTGTTTGGAGGTGTAAAAGCATCTTATTAATTATTTTGCTACCACAGTGCTTGGGCAGGCTTTTAATCCATTGACCCTTTGTTGGGACAGGCAGTGTTCATATCTTCTGTACAAATTATAATTAAATGAGCAAGCGCAGTACAGACAGGGTTAATAAAAACCCTCACAGCCCTCCTAACATTACAAAGAAGAAGCAAGTAGAAATGTTAACCCTTAAGAAGCCAAGAAACCCTATCCCAAGTAAAAGCAATTTAAACTGCAAGAAGAATTTGTTAAATATGTTTTTAGCTTATGCTGTGTGAATGGGGACATGTAACAAGTATAAAATAGTTGTTCCAATTTGGGGTCGAAAATGGAAATATACTTTAAAGACTAGTTGGACCTTCTCCTTTTATTACTGTAATGCAGTCAGGCTGCCTATACAGTATACTATATGCTTATTTTTTTTTTAAATACTTTACGTGCTGCAGTAAAGGGAACAATTTACATGTTGCAGCAATCAGTGAAGTGTAATCACTTCTTTCACACACAACACAGAGGCCCAGATCTTCTGCTATCTGACCCCCCTCCCCAACGCGCACACACCTCCTTCTTCCCCAACCCACAGTGCTGAAATAACAGTGTTCATGCAATTTACAAATCTCATTGGACACAGCTAAAAATAACTGTCACTTTTTAAAAAATAAGGCATTTTCTGCTGATTTTTTTTATTTGTGTGAATTAAGCCTACCCATTGTGTGTACTTTGGTCACAATGCAAATAACAAAAAGCAGCAGGAATAAACATATAACTGACCATATGTTCCACAAGGATAAATTCTAGACAATATGTATGTTTAAATACATAATTTACATTATATGCTGAATGCAGGGACAGCAAGTATAGATGGTGCATTGCTGACTTCTCCTGGCTCTTGTCACTGGCTCTTGTACTAATCTAAAAGCTTCAGGGCATCAGTCCCCAGAGATATAAGAATCCCCAGAGAGCGTACCAGGTGATTCAAACACCCCTTCCGAAACGTAAGGTTTCATTGTTGTTAATCATTTTTCAATGCATTTTACATTGTGACAACCACCTAAAAAAAATCTTATTTGTACTAAAAGCAAAGTAAATAGAGCTCAGGATATGCAAACACAGTTTATTATGGCGTAACCTGCAGTATTGATTTGTTATTGTATCTTGGGATGGAGCATGTTCAAAGGTACAATGTGTACTAGGCTTTCAGACAGACAGACTCACTTCCTCCTCAATGACAGTGAAAGTGTATATTCCAAAGTGCTGCCGGGCTACCCGATATCTCTTAACAACAGGCTTATTTTAGAAGTAATGAAGGGATTATTTTTTGTTTTCCTCTTCTCAACATTATCTCTGTATTTATCATCTTGGTAGAACTCTCTGTGCTCAGCTCCTGAAAAGTTCACAGCAGGTTATTTTGTTGTATGTGCTCTTTTCACAAAGTCTTGTCTGAAGATGAAAATATTTTAACCCCCCCCCCCCCCTTTCCCAGGGGATCCAATGCACATTTCACTGGGTCCAATTCAAATCTATTCAGGGGCTTTCAAATTAAATGCATTTAAATTTCTGTCAGTGCTGTCTGTAGCTCCACCCCAAGCTGAGGCATTTTTACAATATGGAGGAGTTATAGCCCTCTGCCTCCACTGCCACCAACTTTGAGCATAAAATAATTTGAATCCAGATAAGATTCTTACTTTTGTTTTATAAAAAAAAGTATAAGTAAATTTAAAAAATCTAAATATAAACTGACTGACAGGAGGAATGTGCAGGGGAGGGGGCAGGCACAGGTGGCTCTGCCTCTAGATAGGCACGGCAGATCCCGCTGTCACTCACACAGCTGGGTGGATCTCAACAGTGAGACAGCAGAGGAGGAGGTGGGGCCTTCCAGCGACCGTGGAGATGGCGGACAGCAGATCGGGGCTGACAGGTAAGAGGTGTGCAGGGGTGTGGCCAGCCCACCTGAGATGCTGCAGAGCCCACCATAGAGAGTCTATGGTTGGCTGTGCAGGGTCACTCTCAGGTGGGCTGTTTGGGATCTCAGGTGGGCTCTACAAGGGGCGTATCTAGAAATCACAGGGCCCCATACAAAATTTAGCTATGGGGCCCTGTGATTTCTAGTTACGCCCCCGACTATGGGATAAAAAGGTTACCCCATAGTTCTCTTTTAATACTATTCCTAATATATACTCTCAAAATTATTTCTCTTAATTATTTTCCCCAAGTACAGGGACCCCAAATGTGTATGTTATGATAAATATGTTATCACTGTATGGTCAGTAAACAAGTATGTATATTTTATAAAACAAATGATCTCTGCCTTTTCTTTACTGTGCTCTGAGATTTTTAATCGCAGGTCCAAGCCAGCGTAAACAGTGATTTGTTTACATTTAGCTTGTCTCAAGTCCCGAATGAGAAAAATCACTTGATTTCTCCATCCGCCCTAAAGAGCGTTAATGGAGGAATCTTTCCTACTATCTATTGTATTTTGACAGCCAACAGCAACGGCTACCCAAACAGTGACTGCATCCCATTTACTGCAGACACTGTTCAGCTGACAATTTTTGACCTGTCTCTAATGACAAAAGTATTGGCAGGGATCCTCACAGATTGAATTTTGGCGGATTCATCAGTTAATGGCCGAAATTCAATCCGTGAATGGCTAGCTTGATAGTGAGGAAGAACAAGGAAGGCATCAGCTCCGCATACCTATACGATTCAATGGAACTAAATTATTAAAGTGTTAAGTGAGCTCAAAAGTGCTGAGCAGTGAAGTGAGAGGCTGTGACCTAAGCATGCTACACATATGTATGCCAGATTTACATCTGTGGATTGCAGTAATGCACAGTAAAGCACGTGTTTTACCATGTGTTACCACAACACGCAGCAACCCATGAACCATGGTTCATTCATTCATTGGAATGTCACCCCAATGCACATCATTAACGTACCATCTGTGCATCATGGTGTGCTGGAAAAAATTTATGTGGGTTAGAATTTATGTGCTGCCTTACCACAACACATGTTAACACGAGACAGACACAGGGCCATCCCTATAATGAGGCAGCCTGAAGCGGATGCCTCATTGGGGGAAAGCCGGGTGGTGGGGGATCAGCAGGAGGCAGCAACAGCATTCCAGGTTATGGCGCTCTGTCTGGCATCCCGCCCAGTGGAACGCCAGACAGAGTGTGGTTCAGCACCCCCCACAACCCCCTCAGGAGGCGAATACCATAGGAACAGCCCTGGATAGACATAATGATATACAGTGTAAGCTAAACAAATAGAAAGTCTCCTGCAGGCGGTTGGGTGATTTAAGTGAACACAGGTTTATTTCACTGCATTTTACCTACTTTGGTATAACAAAACCAATGTCTTAACCTCCAGGAGCCAGATGATCATTTCTATGCTGCAATGGACTCATATAATAGACTGATCTCCAACACCGAACAGGCAGCCCTTGTTTAGCTAAGCCCAACTGATCCCCTATTCCAGGTGATTGCAGCCAGTTGTGAAAACTAGGATACACATCTGGAAGGTTCTTGTAGTCCCTATTGTTCTCAAAGTCTGGAGACATGTGCTGTCAATACTGTAGCTAATTCAGGAACTGTCTGCTTCTAACAGCTTGTGATCTCCAGCAATTGCATGGATGCATTATAAAATGGAAATAATCAGTTATAGCTCCTAGCTGTGAATACGCTGAATCAAACAGTTCTGTTTGTCTGTACTTAAAGTGCAGACACAGACTATCTGAACACAAACAGAGCAATGTTTACACTAAACTTGATCTCAGATTGTAACTCACAAAGCACATCAAACAACAACAGAGGTAATAGGTTATCTTTACAAAATTGCTTGGTATCCCCAGATATACAGTATTACAAAACCCAATGGGGGAATTTATCAAAACTGGAGCAGACAAAATCTGAAGCAGATTTGTACTGCAACCAATCAGCTTCTCTCTCATTTTTAAATCTTTCCTGAGCAAACTGAAGAGAGATACCGATTGGTTGCCATGGGCAACTGCTCCAGATTCTGTTTGCTCCAGTCTTGGTAAATTCCCCCAGTGTGTTTTAAAAGTATAGATATCCTTCAACTATCTTTGAATATCATGTTATATTTGAAAATTGAGTTTGTTATTAGTAGGGAGTGAGCACAGTTGATCCATAATGTTTGCATATTGTATTTGGATAGACTAACTAATTACTATATATTGGGTGAACATAATATGATTAACCTATCAGCACTGTTTTTATCTGTGATATCCCCTGATAAATTGCTTTTAATCTACAGGGATCGAGTTGCTCGTGTAGGCCTGGGAGTGATCTTAAACATTGCAAAAGATAGAGATGACCCAAAACTTGCTAGAAGTCTCTCAGGCGTCCTAGAGCACATGTTCAAACATTCTGAAGAGACCTGCAAACAGCTGATATGCGATGGTGGTCTTGACACAATCCTTTTCTGGTGTCGCTGGACAGACCCGATCATTCTGAGGCACTGTGCCATGGCCCTGGCCTACTGTGCCATGTATGGAGGACCTTCCAACCAGCGCCTGATGATTGAGAAGAAAGCGGCTGAGTGGTTATTTCCACTGGTATTTTCCAAAGAAGATGACCAGATTCGATTTCATGCTTGCCTTGCAATCACCGTATTGGCAACTAACAAAGAGATTGAAAAGGAAGTGGAAAGATCAGGTACCCTGGAACTGGTTGAACCCTTTATCTCTTCTTTGGACCCTCAGGAATATGCACGTTCTCTTTTAAACAACAGTGACAACACACAGGGAAGGACAGCTGGTGACCTCCAACGGCTTGTGCCGCTGCTGGATAGTTCACGGTTAGAAGCACAGTGTATTGCAGTTTTCTATTTGTGTGTAGAAGCCGCCATCAAGTCCCAACACAAGAATACAAAGGTGAAGTTAAATGCTGTCTTTACTATTGACCATTAATCCATTCCCAGTTTTTATATCATGACATGCTCAATGCTAAACCAACATTCATAAAACAAAATGCATTAGTGCTGGTATATCTCCAATACATTCTTAGCACCTATTATGTACTACTTAGTTATAGAGAGCATCTTTCCTAATTAAGCCCATTAGAGAGAGGTCATTGACTGGATTGGACACTGGCTTTTTCTGTCTGCAGTTTTGTGCTACATATTGGATAGGCCAGTGTCCTGTATAGATTCTGGCTCTTTCTAAAGGAAAGGTGTATGGAGGGACGCTACACGCTACAAGATGTATACCAAGAAATTAACTTTTCCCATGTTAAGTAATGCACATGCATGTATTCCTGTGCCAAGCTCTGTCATATATACTGCAGTCATACATTTGTTATGAACAATGCCAAAGCAGACAGCTACAGGCCTACAACCCCCATGCTTCAGAACAGGAGAAATGGAAAGCAAATTTGTAAAGCATGTAGTTGTTTGATTCAAAGTAGTGAAAAGCAGTGGTATGGTAGGGTAAGGCGATACTGCTGCTTTATAAATTGGCTCCATAGTATAGTAAGCATACATTCTGAAAGTCATCAACATATTAGGTGATGCGTTACATACTGGCCCATGTACAGGGTTCCTTTAAAGTGAACTTGTGTTTTGCTCATATAGGGCAAAGCAACTGGTTCACTATATTGCTTCCCTTCCCAGCACCACGTTCCCTACCTTCACTCTCTGCCTGGTAAATCTAGGTAAAAGGAAGCAAGTGACTCAATCCTCTTCCTCCCACCTGATGATTGGCTGCTTAGGCACCCAGAGCTGTTACAAAGATTCAGTTTACTACCAAAATAGTCTAGGGAAGTGATAGCTTCAATGTTTTCTTTAAAGCAATACACACAGTTATTGTTGAAAAGCGCAAGTTTAATGGCCTTTTTTGATGGGCTTCTGAGATCATTCAAAGTTCAATAGCAGGTGCATTTGACCTGCAGTTGGCCTACTTCTGACCTGCATTTGACCTACTGCAATGTACTGAAAGACCTGTAAAGGAATGCAAAACCTGCCTGAAGTGGACAAAAGCCCATGGACTCAGGCCATCAATCCCATCGCTTGCTACTGTGTAGGGCAATACAGTCAGCTGTTAGGGAAGACACTAATAAAGAAAGCCTGTAGTCTAGTGAAATCACTTAGTGCCTTCTAATTCATTCATTGATTGCATTCTCTTAAATGTTGTACCATCCAACACTGTGGCTTAATCTGTTGACTAAGCCAAACCAAATGCTTACATAGTAATTCAGTCTGTCTAGTAACGCTGGGAAATGAAAGTCCAACAAATACAGTACCTGCCGTGTTCCCTGCTTGATGACTTATTTTATATTAAACTAAAAATCCTGAAAGTCGCCAACACACATTAGATGTGTTTCATGTGCTGTCATCTGCTTAATAGTGCAGAGGGCTGTTGTAAGGCACAAATTATCTAGGGGGGGGGGGGGGGGGGGGGCAAGAAAACATTTCAGGAATACAAATGTAAACATCCTAGTTACCTGTTTTTTATTCTTTTGTGGATACACCATCTAAGGAATAACAATTCATTACAATCGTGGAAAGCCTATAGTAAAATGTTGCTCCTGTGTATTTATGACCAGCCCGACATGTACAATCTTGTACAGCACTTTCAGCTGTGTGTAGCCTTGGCTTGACCTATCGAGGTTTATCTCCATAAAA